GATGGCTGTGGCGGAGACAAGAACTTGGTGCGACTTTTCTACAACTCCGGGACTCTAGACTAGAAATATTCAGCGAAAAAAATGGCTTTAAAGGGAAAAGGGTTAAGTCTGCTTTAGGGTAGACATAAAACCGTCAAGAGACAAGCTCAATTGAACAGCATTTGCATATTGAAGTGACTTGAACAGAGTTGACGCAAAGCAACTTCAACTGTTCTCAGAAAAGAATACATTTGAAAGATGGTTGGGAAAGGGGCAAGAATGATAGTTTTGTAAGATATCCCTGGCACCCTTGAGCAGCAAGGATGCACTGGACAAATTTTATATACAACTTAAATTATAAATAATAAATGTATTTAATAAAATAGAGAAGATCCTAAGAACTTCAATAATTTTTAACTATTTTTAAATGCATTTTTTATTACGATGCTGATTTTTACTGATTTTTTAATTAAATAAAATCTAATCAGGCGATTAAAGAATAGACTAATTTCTTATTTTAATTGGTTTTTATAATAAAATAAAATATTATATGACCTCAAAACCTCTTTAAAATTAATTCTTCTAAATAAAAATATTACAGTAATTCATTGTAAATTATTTTAATATATATTTTGTTTTTACTATAAGAAATAAATTTAAAAAAATTGGCTTATAATACATTTTAATACAAATATAATTTTTTCCCAGTGTCTAAAAGTCAGATATTCTAATTCTGAAGATGCAAAACCCCTCGAAGAATAACGCTCCTCGTGTATGACTTATGGCGATGGCTACATCCATCCCCTTGGAGTGCAGTTCGAGGATTTCAATTTCATCATTACCCAGCCCCCCTTTCACTGGGGTTTTTCTCCCTTTGGCCCCCATTCCCACACCCCCTGCAGCACGTCAGCTGTTGATGGCGCCGCGTTGCGCACTCGCCGAGATTTATTTTTATCGCCTACCATTCCCAATTCAATCCAATTCATTTCGCTTGGCTTTCCAACTCTTCTTTTCCAGGATTTTTTTTTAAGATTTTGATTTTTGGCCGCAAGTGCCAACGGGATGGTGGGTGGCAATTGTGGAAACATTTGGTTGCCATTTCATCAGGACAAAGTGAAAAGATGCCTCCGTCGCGGCTTCGTTTTGGCTCTTGGCTTTATGGCCAATTGGGTTAAGCTCAGGGCTCAGGGGGAAATCTGAAAGCCATATCGATGCCTAGCCACATCAGGCAGCCAAAAATTTATATTGATATATGGAACCAGCCAAGAAACCAAAGAGGGGAATAAAAACTAAAACCGAAAAAAGGCGCCGGTAGACACAAAATCTGCCAAAAAGTCGCAGGTTACTATTTTTTCTTAAGGGTTATAATTCTGTAAATTTTACCTGACAAATCTGAAAAAATAAAATAACTTAAATTTCTAAAAAAAATGAAAAGTAATTATAAAATGTATATAACAATGAAATGCTTAATATTTATAACATTTATTAACTGAATATAGGAAAAAGTTATAATATTAATCACAACTAAACCAATAAATTTCAAGGGAGTTGATTTATAAAGAAGGTACAGACCTAGTTCTATAACAATAATATTTAAATCAATTAAATATATGTTAAAACTATATAAAAATCATAAATTTAAAAAAAATGTACCGACGAGGATGGGATTCGAACCCACGCGTGCAGAGCACATTGGATTAGCAGTCCAACGCCTTAACCTCTCGGCCACCTCGTCACGTGTACTTTCTCTTCCAAAATTCGCACTTTCTTCAATCGTAGATTCTGCCAAGCAAAAAAAAAAGAGAGTTGGAAGTTGCCTACCGCAAATTATGAGCGGAATATTTCTTATCTAATTTGTTTTTATTTCTTTATTATTTTTTTTTTAGAGAACTGGGACAGAGTGGTTGCTACTTGGCTCTGATGATGATAACTGGTTTTGGCTTGAAACTCCAAGTGAATGTCTTACACCAGCTGCGTTTGCTCAGAGAGCTTATATAATTTATGGTTAGATAATGAATAAATTAGGTGCCAACAAAGGCCATTTAAGATCCAGTATGAAAGAGTCTCTGGAAACGTGAAGAATGCAAATAATTATGAGAAGTGATTTGCAGAAAAATATTAAGATGAATGAGGGAAGTTGGAATTGGCTTTAAATTTATTTTTTACAATTTAAGCAAACTATTAATTGATATTTTAATTAAGATACCTTGCCTTATTTTAAGTTAACCTTAAAGCTTTTTAAAAACTCCAAACAAACCACTTAAAAAATCCTAACCCTGTCTTACAAAGGTTCCTTGAACCCCAACCATAATTTTAACTCATCAGAGAAATCAATTTAAATTAATTTTTACGAGCGGCAAAACTCAAAAAGTTTCCACTGGGCCGGCTTAACTTTGTAAAAATCGAATTAAGTCATAAAAAAATATTGCATGAAGAGCGCAAGGATCATATAACCAGGACCAGGACTGAAAAGGATAAAAGAAATTGACTTTGACGCATTTATGACGGAGGGAGGCGCGTGTATAGTTTTACGATCGTTCCTGGGCCCCGCCCCGCCTCTATACCATATATACATATCTCGCGGGTTAACCGAGCATAAAATCTTCCAAAGGCGTCGGCGGCACCAACTTAAATGGTTTTACGACCTCCAAAAACGGATGGGGGGGCTTCCTCGAGACCGTAAAAGTCAAGCCGAGCTAAGGCCGCGCGCACACTACGAGCTGAAAGCGGAGCTGACGGCTGACGGCTTATCAGCTCTCTGAAACAAACACACTACTTGTATGAGAGCGCGCACACTGAGAGCGGAGCTGAAAGCTGATAAGGTCAGCTCCGCTCCGCTCTGTTTGATCAACCAAACATGTTTGATTTTGTTAGCAGCTGACGCGAGCTGATTTTTTAGACTATTCTTTAAAAAATTGCCCTAATTAGCGCTTAAGTAAGAGAAATTTAAATTTCTGTCCAGTTACATAAAAAAGTATGAAGAATTTTTTTAATATTTATTAAAATAAAAATATTGTCAACTTTCCGAGATACAGTGTGCCAAAGTACACTAAAAAAACCTACTTTGTCAACCATATTCTGGAGAGCTGGGTGGTCCGATTTCGAAAATTTAAATGCAATGATGATCTAAATAAATATGTCATCGCATTAACAAGGATATTTTAAAAACATTAAAGAATTAAAAATTTTTTTTTTTAAACGTATTGCTTGAAAAACAATTACAAATCAACATCAGCTTCAGCTCGCAGTGTGCGCGGCTGCAAAAAGCTCAACTCGCTGATAAGCTTTCCGCGGATAAGCTCTCAGCCGTCAGCTCCGCTTTCAGCTCGTAGTGTGCGCGCGGCCTAAGAGCGTTCAAAAAGCCTTCTGATGGATGTCGTGCGAAGGCGCTGTCAGGTTTATGGATATACATATCTGAGTAGTTTGTAGGATCTGGACTACCGGGGGCACTTGCCAGTCAGTGCTAATTGAGCATAAATCAGAGATGCTATAAATGTTCGTTACTAAGAAATTTATTGCCATCGGGATACTTTGAGCACTACTGTGGAAATTCTTTTACAACTCCATACTCTCCCTCCCCCACAGACACTTGCGAATTGGCGAAAAACTTTCCTAATACAAATTGCATCGACACTGAAGCGGAAATCGCACGGAAAGGAGGAAAACAAGGGGAATTTGGGGTGTCACGACTATGAGATACCTTTAATAGTAACAAAGTATTTACTCTATCTAAAATTGACCAACTTAAAACGGTTTTCCTACGAAATTGGTACCTTATAAGGCCCTAATATAACAGTGTTTTCTTGCTGTTTAGTTGTAATTCGAGCCTTACAAGTCTCTTATCAAAAGTTTTAAGAATAAGTATTACTTAATTGAGTCTTAAGGAACTTGTATCCCAATATTCAGATCTGTCAGTCTTTTAAGTCCTCAGATGTATATATCCCGAGCAACTTCTACATTAAAAATTTACGATTATTGATTCCTTTTCAGAATAAAAAAAAACACACTTTTCCAATAAGCTAATAAACACATTCAAAAGGTTTTCTAAGAAAAATGTATTTAAAGGATAAACATATATATATTATATTTTGTTATAAAATTATTTTCTCTTGTTCATCTTCCTCTCAGTAACACAAATATACCCTTAAAACCCTGCTACACCATATAAAAAACTAGCCAAAGGCCGACGACAAAGTGGTCAACATGCCACAAACTTTTTTTCCCCCGTTAGTTATCCCTTTGCCAATCGCGCGGGTGGCAAAGTTCCATGCTCTGCAGAATTCTTCTCCAACATTTTTAAACAATTTAGCGCAAGAATTAAAAATCGCCAACGCCGCGCAATGTGAAAAACTTTTCATCGCAACGCAGCACTAAAAAAAAAATGAAATAAAATAAAAATAGGCGAAAAAAAGAAGAAAATCGTGGAAGAGCGAAAACTTTTGTACGCAAAGTTTGTCGGGTTATAAATTATCCTCTCCTGTGGGGGCTGAGAGGGCAGAGGGAGTGTGGAGGGCGCTTAGAAGCGGCGAGAGCACCTTTGGCATACTGCTGGGCACTTTTTTAAGCCGATTTTCATCTTTCGTTTTCGGGTTTTTCCTTTTGCCATTGGCAGCACCGTAGACTTTTGGCGCCAACGGGTTTGACTTGTACAAATTGCTGTGTCGACTCACACACACACACACACAAACACACACTCGCGGACGCACCCGCACGCACAGGATATGAAAAGCCAAGGGAAAAGCGGGGGAAATTCGCGTCTTGTCGTAGTCGTCGTCATCCTGGCAATGGGGATAAGTTTGTGTCGCCCTTTTTTTCAAGAATACTCTTTTCGGTGTGGGTCTCAGTGATCCTTTGGATTTTTTTGTTTATAGATGTTGCCACCTAGTCTAACTTCGGTATATCCTTTAAGGTGTCCATCTAGTCTAACATCGGTAAGAAAAGAATTGATTTGAAGTAAGGATGTCGCCATATATTCTCCTATCTTGACTTCTTATTCTATTTGAAATTTAGTTCACAAAGTATGCATTGTTTCCTTGTGTCAATTTTATTTATATAATTCTCTGGAAATATCCTTTCCACTCAACACTCCCAAAAAAATTTTAAAAAAATTAAGCCCTTGAAATACAGAAAAGTTCAAGTAAAATGTCCTGCAAGGCCCCAGGGCTATTCCAAGATGAGAGCAACATAGAGCTGTCAATAGTAGACGTGGAAGTCCCCTCCGAATTGGACCTAGATGAGGTCTATGATCAGCTGGAAAGGATGAAGCAAAGGGTGTTGCAGATGAAAAGTATGATAATACGTCCACCAGCAACCACCACTGACCCAGTGCAGGCGGAATTTGAGAAGCTAGCTGACTCGGACAACCCCCACTTGAGAGAGGTACAGCAGGAGACCTCACGGGGTTTCCTGCAGATCGATCTGGTAAGGAACCGCCTCTCGGAGACCACCAAGGAGCTGGTCGATTTGGCTGCGCGGATCCAGGAGAGCGAACGGTGCACCAAAGACCTGGCCAAGAAGCTGGACGAGGTGCCCAAGTGGATAGAGGAAAGTAAACACCAAGCGGGACTGTGCATGGAGCGGCACAATGAGCTGAGTACTACCCTTTTAAGCGACCTAAACTACAGCAACCACATGCGACCTTTACTGGTGACCCTGAGTAACAATTATAGCTCAAAGGTTAGACCTTTTATACTTTTCAGATTTATCTTAATAGTAATATATGTATATTTTCCAAAGATTTCCGTAACGTGCTACCGGAAGCAATACAAAGAAATTTTAGATCTCGTACAAAATACCCGTTTGCTGTTGAACCAGACCCACGATCAATTGAGAACGTACACCCAAATCATAAACGACTCTTTTGGGGAATCCACGACGCATCATCTTTCCAGTATGCCTGACATTAGCGGTCTGATGGACCTGCTGGAGCAGAGCCGGGAAATTGGAAAGAAGAAAAGGGCTTCTTCAAATGTCAAACCTCTAGCATTGATCCAACTTACCAAGGCGGCAGAAAAGCTCACGTTATTGCAAAAGTTTCGGGATGGGGCTGGAAAATAGGCCGCTATGTATTTTAATTAAGAGAATTTTGTCTCAGTTATGAGGAAAAAAAATTAATATTAAAAATTACTTAATCGTTGTTGATTAAAAGAGTATTCCTAATTCGTTGGGCAACCTTAAAAAAATTGGACTTCCTTTGGCCGTTTTATACCTTTTGGCCTGGCCTTTGGCACTAATGGATTATCTAAGCCTTTTAGTGGCTATTGGTTGCCTTGGCAATTGTTCCAGGGCTTTTGGGTCGCCGGAGCCAGAGGATGGAGGAGCTCTAACCCATCCTGTCCTGCTGTTATCCATCGACAGCTGTGTTGGCAAAATCTTGGCAAAGGGCACAACTAGCATTTAAATAGTTGGCGTATATATATAACCCCATGCCCTTTGTATTTGGGTCATCATTTCATATGTAGATATTTTACGTTTTAATCGCTTTATTATACCAGGAAAGAAAGAATACGAAAAAAAAGGGTCCACGGAATATACATAAATTATGTTTATGGTATGAATATAGTTTCAATTTATGGATCAACTAATCAATATTAATGCCTTCCTGAATGCCTTACATGTGGCTTTTAGGCCGAAGAGGAAAAATTAAGCCAGATTACCATATTACAAGGGTGTTCTCTGGGCTACCTAAACTTGGGAAGTATGATCTAATCGTGGGGTAAAAAAATATATACCAAATTAGGCCTAAATATTCGTGGGAAATAAATATCAAAAAGGGTAAATTGCTTACTGGGTTATGTAATATTTATATTAATAAGAATTTTAAGCAGAATATTTGAATGAAAATTCCTGAATAAATATATATGTATCTTGAGGTTATTTATAAATACTATCCATCCTTTCCCTCTGTAATCAGTAAAACTGCAAATTCCTTTTCCTTGTACCCCTTTTGCTTCGTCGTCAGCTTCATTCATATAAATCGCTGATACGAATGGAATTCAAGAATGCCCGCCTGTGGATATCGCAAAACTTGTTGCAGTGCATTCAACTTCATTCACCACATGATTTATGCCCTTCCCCAAGTCCAATCAAGAGCCAGAGGAGATCTGGCTGCCTTGCCCCAGACTCGCGCAACTACTGGTAACCCGTACTGCCACTTGTACACTCGCGTGCACTCATGTACCCGCACTGATTTACTCATACTGGGACTTACCTCAGCGAGAAATCATTCATTTCAGGCCACAGCGCCAGACACTGCGATATCAGTAGGAGCTGGAGCGCCAGACACAAACCGGCACATGAACACACATCTACATATAGCTTATATAGATACGTACTATAGAGGGCGATATGCCCAGAACTGCATCTATAATTGGAACAAAGGAGCTCAGGCTGAGGCTGAGGCTGACTCCAAGCTGAGGCAAAAGTTGATCAAACCAAGAAACAATTCATATTCATATTTCCGCATATGCCAAGTAAGTTTCAATTGCGGTTGCAATTGTCATTGCAATTCCATTTTGCTGCCCGGCAACAAGCAACCCAAGCACACAAGCTCAAAATTCATATATATAGAACCGCAATCAGCAAGGCCGAGCGAAGCTTAAGCAATTTCCCGTACTCCCGCAAACTTTTCACCCACAGAACTTCACTGGCACTTTTCCTACTCTTTTGCTCCCCTTAGATAGCTCGTCGTCGTCGTTGTTGCCTCAATGATAATGCAAATCAACGAAACAAAGAATTTTCCAATGCAAGCTGCTGGTTCAATGTAGCCATCAAAAGTGCAAACAACTGTTTGTACAGTGGAGACTCCAAAGAGAGAATATAGATTCTAAATTTTAGGTGTTTATTTTGGCATTAAAAGAAATATCCTTGAAAAAGAAATAATAAGAATAAGGGTGATTTAAAAGGGGTTGTTAAAAACTTTCTCATAATTTTAATCTAGAAAAAAATACCTCTTTGTGACTAAAAACAACTGGAAAATAATGGGTGTGTTATCACCAGCACCCAACTTAGGCAGTTTCCACTGTCTAGCCTATTAGTTGATAACGTTGATAAGGCTACAGCCGGGGTGAATCTTATCTGTACATTCAAATGTATATATGTATGCATACTCCACGTATGAGAGGCTGGGCACTCCAACCACCACCATCCCCTCTCCAAGCAATCGCCCCCAAAAAGGCCAGTCGAGTGAACTTCTTGGTCATGTCAGACCTATATAGTATAGCGCCTGATGACGTCGATTGTCTGCCCCTCATTACTTTCATGGCTCGAACTCACTTATCGCGGAACTAGAGGGGAAGCACATTGGAATATCAGCCGAATGCTTTAACCTAATTGGCAAATTTCATCACATTTCTAAGATGAACTTGGGGAATTCAAGATGAACGTTTGCATTATATATAAAGAATTATATTAAAGCGAGTTCAGGGAGCATTTATTAGTGCCAAGTAATGCTAAACGTATTCATACATTTAATTTATTTAGTATAGTTACTTAAATACAGAAAATATTCAATAATTTCCCTACTTATTCATTGCTTTAGAGGGACTTGGGTTAACCCAATTATGCCAGACAAAAAGCACAAGCAAAGCAAATATGTGACCCTACTGAAATTTGCTGAGGGGAAGGAATATCACAGAACAAAGTGGTTAATTAACAGGTTTTATAATAACTTAAATGGGTCAACACCCACTCACACATTGTTGAGCATAATTTTCCTAATGGATGCATGAGGAGAACAATGATAATGATGATGCTAAGGATATGGATATTGAGGATAATAATGGTGTGGTTTCAAGGGGTCAGTTGGCGTCCACTTGTTGATATGGCAGCGCCCCATTCTGATGGGTGTCATTTCGTCTCATTGGGTGTTATATAATACGAAGCTTATTGTCTGGACTTGTGGAGTAATTAAATATCTAAATGGTGACCCAGAACAAGATAGAGCAAAGCGGGATATGTATCTTTTTGTTTGTATCTCAGAGATACAATAACACTATCAATTATAATAATTACAAATCGTTCTTCTAAGTCAAAGAAAGTCAAAGGATGCTTCCTTTTACCCTATCAATACTTGTGGTGACCCCAAAATCTTAAGTACTTACTTCCCCTAGACTCCTACCTATTACCATGCAAATATACCCTAAAAAATGAAATCACTTACATATGCTTATAACAGGGACTCCCAAGTATGTAAAGTAATTAAAGCTCATACCCGCAGCCACAAAGGAAGAATCGGATGAGCTCCGAGCTTAAATGGTGACCCCGATCACAAAGGGCCTACAAACAAAAAGTCCTTCTGCGTGTGTGTGTGCGGGTATGTAAGTACCTTTTTATTATGTACACGTGTAATGTATGCGTACAATATGGTAATGGACCATTACCGTTTGTCACCCACTTACACCCGCCTTTGCCTCCACCTCAGTATCCTGCTGGTATTCGGATATGTACACCCAAGGACGCCAAAGACCGAGCAGGACTGCCTAACAACCGAACCACAAAAAAAAAAAATATACATATATCCCGACGGTGAATAAATCTAGGGAGCAGCCGTGAAAAAGGCCGACGGAGAACAAGACTTCGGCAGGCGACACTTCGGCCGGATCCTGTAGAGCGACAGAGATCCTGGATAGTCTGACTGGGGGATGGGTTCCTTTCTAGGCTCCCGTCCAACCACGAGGCTCGTCCTGGGAGTCGGCAATTAAGCGGCCAACTAACCCAGCTGGCCAACAACCTATTGGAGCCGAGCACATCCTGCGCAGAATCCTGGCAAGCCGGCAATGCCACACCCACCACCGACGGTGGGAGGGAAGACCTTTTTTGGGAAGGAGAAGTGCCACATATTAACCGGCGGCAGCCAGCGTTAACGTTGCATCCACTTCCATTTCCCCTCCTGCAGAAAGTGTGTCAGCGGAAGAGCGTGCTATTATTACCTGCCGAAGGCGAGTCCTTCCACGAGTGCCATCTCCTTTTCCCCAAAAGGAGTAAGCAACGAGCAAGCGAGATGGCCAGTGTTTGAATCGGTGGGGGGGTTGAGTCAGCAAACCAAAAGGAAAGCCCAAGAAAAACAGCCGAGCTGTAAAAGTTTGTCGTGTTTCGCTAAGAAACGAAGGAAATGCAGCAGGGAAAGGGAGAAAGTTTGCCCACAAAGGGGGATGTATGTGCGAAGAAGTCCTGAGAGAGAGAAATCGGAGAGAGTCCATGTGGAGCTTATGTTAGTCACAGTGGAATCCAACAAGTGGGCAAAGCAGAGAGCCACAGGCAAAGGACTCTTTGGGGAGAGTTGGTAGATGAAATTGGAGTGGATTGTATCTGCAAGATCAACGAGAACAATTGAGGATATTCAAGTAGAACCATTAGTAGAAGAAAACTAAGAAATGTTTTCTTTTATTGATAAGATATAGTTTTAGAAATAAATGTTTTTATATTTATGAAAGTTATAGCAAAAACATATCTATTCGATTTATTTAGATTCGATAGATTTAGACCAAAAAGTATCTTAATCTTTAAAAGTACATAGTAATAGAGCATCTATACTCGTTTTCCATGATCTTTGACGCTAAAGCCCAAATGTGTTCTCTTTCTTATCATCTCTTATTTTTAAGATGTTGCTCTTCTACAAGTTTGATGCTCTTTAGACCCCAAAACCCCAAAAAAACGCCCCAACCCTAAACCCATATAAAAAGCTCAAAAATTTTTTCTGTCGACAGCACGTTTTTGTAGCTATTTTGAACGTTTTTTTTTCAAAAATTTTTTTTCGTGTGTTTCTTTTTTACTTCTTTTTTTTAGTTTCTTTGGTTTTTTTTTTATTGTAAGAATTTGTGAACGACGCAATAGCGTCGACGTCGCTGTCGCTGCCATCGCACCACGTTTTTCGCTGTGCGGGCGTCTGTGTGTGTAGGGGGAGTACGTGTGAGGCGGGGGAGTGTGAGTGAGTGGAGGTGAGCTGGTGTTGGTGGGGCATTTCATAGCCCACATTAGGTAAGGTTAGGTTTTAAATTCTGTTTTCGTTTTTCCACTGCCCGTCGCTGCCACGAATTTGATTTGTTCTGGTTCCGCTTTTGACTTTTGTTCTCTGGCTGCCCCACTCTGATCGTTATCCGCGCTTCTTCCACATCCTGTTCGCTCCACTCTTTCGCTCTCTATCTCTG